AGATCCGGAGAAATCGAGAAAGTTTCGAAGAAACAGCCTCGCTTTCTCAGGACTATTCCGAGGATCTCCTGTTGTTGAGCTCTTGTTTCAGCTTAAGTCTTTCCCCTACTTAGCTATGGAGGTAAAATCATTTTTTTCGAATATCCTTCTTTGTGCTCTGTGTTGTGCACTTCATTTTAAATATCTCTAAATGTTCGGAGTGGTTGATAGCCGATTGATTATTAAGTACCCTTAGGCCCCGTTTGGTTCGCAAGATAAATAGTCTAATGAAACCCAATTATTTGATTTGAGCTCGCGACATCCAACAAAAAAAAACACATTCGAAGGCAAGATAAGCCACGATTACATGATTTTGGCGGGTCGACCCGGCAATTTATTGGGATACCAAACATCAAATTTAGTCCAACTTGGCTTATCTTGGCAACCAAACGGGGCCTTAGAATTGGAATTAATGAAAAGATACTTCCGTCGTCGAGATTTGATTAGAAGTTGGATTAACCGGTTTTTTTCCTTGCCAGGTTTTTAGTTGGAGAAGGAAACAATTGGACTATTCTGCACCCATGACGGTGGAGGAATACGCAAAGGGTATCGCCATGGCTGGTAGATTGAAAAATATCGATCTTGCGTTGGAGCTTTTCAAGGAGGCTTCCAATAAACAATTAATGGCCACATCTTTATTTAACGCACTCATGAGCGCTTACACATACAATGGCTTAGCCATGCGGTGTCAGTCGTTATTTCGTGATTTGAAGATGGAATCCACGTGTTCTCCGTCGATCGTAACTTACAACATACTTATTTCGGCATTCGGCCGCCTAATGCTTGTAGATCACATGGAAGCAACTCTGAGGGAGGTAAAGGATTTAAATATTCCTCCGACAGTCAACACGTACAAGGGTTTAATAGCTGGCTATATTACAGCGTGGAAGTGGGAAGAAATGGAGAAGACTTACCGAATGATGAAAGCGGGCCCCATCAAACCCGATATAGATATCCATCTACTAATGCTTCGTGGGTATGCACATTCTGGTAAGCTGGAAAGAATGGAGGAAATATACGATATGGTAAGGGACCATGTCGATCAGAACGAGATTCCGTTGATAAGAACCATGATTTGTGCGTACTGTAGGAATTCTCGTGTTGGTAGGGTCGAAAAAGTTGATGAACTACTCAGATTAATTCCGGAAGACGAGTACAGGCCTTGGTTGAACGTGATCTTGATTTGTTTATATGCTAGAGAGGATTTATTGGATCAAATGGAAAATTCAATAAAGGAGGCGTTTGAGCATAAAGCGTATGTGACGACAGTTGGCGTAATGACATGCATTATTTCGAGTTATTTCCGGCAAAATGCAGTGGACAAGCTGGCGGACTTTGTGCAGCGTGCAGAGTGCGCAGGTTGGAAAATCTGCCGGTCCCTTTACCACTGCAAAATGGTGATGTACTCGTCGGAGAAGCGGCTTTCTGAAATGGAGAGGGTTCTTTGTGAAATGGAGAGAGTAAATATGCGCCTCTCGAAGAAAACATTTTGGATATTGATTAAGGCGTATAAAAAGTGGGGTCAAAGAAGCAAGCTTGAGCAGGTTGTCGGAATGATGTGCAAACATGGATACGGAGTACCTTTGGATGCTTGCAATTTATAGCAATATTTTTTTGCCGAGTTAGAGAAGTGAGTTGAGAATTCCAGCGCAAAAATGAAAGTTATAGTAGTCCAATGCTTGCTGCCGGAGATGAAGTTTCCATTCATATTTAAAGGTGAACTAATCATGTTTAATCAATTTTGGATTTTCTCTTACTTTTGACGTGTTAATACTCGTTTTTGCCATGCTCTGCTGTCAATAAGTAGGAATGGTGGTATCTAAATAAACATAAGGTGGGTGGAAGAAAATTGTATCAAGGGTAAATTAGACCTACCTTCCCCCGAGGTTACTAAAGTGTTTGTTTCTCTGTCTAAATTACACAACCCTCGCTCTAACTTAGGTCTAATTTAGGCCGCTCGATTTTGAAAATTTACCCATACCCCCTTGAGGTGTAACTTCAATCATCATCTAATCGTATTTGATTGTTGATTTGTTAGAAATTGATAATATAAGCAAGAAAAGGCTACTTTTTAAATGCTAATCGAAATCGAATCTTGAGTTTGGTTTTGTGTAATTTTCTAAACTCAAAGAGTTTAGTTGTAATCAAGGTTGTAAAAATGCGAATCGGGTCGGAGGCGGTTAGGCACCGCCGGACGATTAATCGGCGTGGCGGTGATTTCATGTTTACCGATATTTCGTGTTTTCCATGTCCAGTTATTTGTTTACCATCAATTTACTCAAGAGCATTGCATTCTTCCTTTGTGGACAATTTTGGTTGCAAACGTAAGATATCTTTGCTATGTGGGTCGTGAATCTTGATCTGCCACCGAAAAGAATGAAAAGTTAGTCGTATCAAACACACTTGGGGCGTAGCTGATTTCACGAGGAAAATATGAAATGTTTGAATAACTAGAATAATGCCATGCTCGTAACATACTGGAAATTAGCCCGGTGAAGAAAATTTATCATCGTATATTTGTGTACAAGAATTAGTGTTCATTCCTCAGGCCAATAACAATGGTTTTTAATCACTTTATGCAGAACCAGAGCCATCATACTGTTCTTGCATTGTCTCGATCACATTGATGATTCACAATTAATTGAAAGTCGTCCATGAATCTCGTCTCGTGATAGATGCCCTCTTGTCATGAGATTGATTACATTCAATTTGGGGATCAGTTTTTTTCTAACATACATATTGTGCAGCAAACTCAGATTTCAGGGTTTTACTGAAATATCATCTCTTGACTCAGTTCTACTTCAATATAATACACACCTGCATATTTCTCGTTTCGACTGAACCTTGTTGGCCTGTTTTTATCATGTGCAAAAGCACGAATCATCGGCATATATAAGTATGAATGATTTTTCTGAAACGTACATCCAGTAAAAACTACAACTCGTTCACACCGATAAGGTTACTGGGAGACAAAATCTAAGGCAAAGCTTTGGAAAGAAATCGTGAAGAATACACAGTTCATCCAATCAAGGGGAAAAAAACAGTTTGCGATCGTGCAATATAGCCGTTGCCAGTTATCAAATAGGTTTCCCTTAGATTCAATTTACGATGGTTGGAACAAATGAAATCGTGTCGCAGTGGTTCGTGTGAAAAGAATAAATAGAAGTATTGATTTGTAATCTTATTTTCAAGAACTTTCTAGATATTGTCTCACCATATCTAACCAAATCAAAGCATATATCCCAGTAGATAGAGCATATGGGTAAAAGAAAGTCTGAGATTCCAACATTATATTATGCTTCACTAGCTTAAAGAAAAAAGATTGTTCAATCTATAACATATACATATTTGACACATATCCATGTGTATGTGTGTATAATTTAAAGAGCAAATGGCAAAAAATATCCATGTGTATGTGTGTATAATTTAAAGGGCAAATGACAAAAAGGACATGACAAGGGACTTAAATGCACATTATTCCACAAAAAACATAGTCTTTCAAATAAACTCATCCATATGTCTTTAGTCTAAAATACTCTCCATAGATAATTCTTATCAATTCTATCAATTATGCTCTAACTTCTTTAATATTACACATCGACTCCGAATTTAAACAAATATCACATTAACCCTCATTTTAATAATTTTTAGAAAAAATATTTTTTTTTTCAGAAAATAATTTTTTTTCTGAATTTTTTTTCCAGCCATCTTCCGGCCCTGACTTTTTTCTTTTTTTTTTTTGTAAACTTTTTTTTTCTGAAATATTTTTCTCAGGCGTTGACTTTTTTTTCCGATTTTTTTTTTGAAATTTTCTTTTTTCTTAGAAAATATTATTTTAATTAATATTACTGTCTTGGCTGCTAAATTACTGTCTCAGACAGTAATATTACTGTTTGAGACAGTAATATTATGAATATTATTTTCCCGAACAGTAATATTATTAATATTACTGTCCCAAACAGTAATATTATTGCATGAGATAGTAATATTACAGTCGGAGACAGCAAAAATGCAGGCCAAGACGATAAAATTAATTAAGGGTAAATTACAAACACCCCCTTGAGGTACTGTAAAGTGCACGACAAAGTGTTCGCGTGATACT